CTGATGCCCATCTAATGCTACCAAATTTACAGAGCTATTTGCAATTGGCAATACACCAAGTGACAGTCAAGTAACATTGACAATAATTTTTTACCTAAATGAACTAATAACATTTTGTAAAATTCAGCATAATGCTGTCAGTTTCAATCTCTCTTTCTCAAGTTTTCCATTAATTTGAAGCACATCATGCTTCTTCACAGACTCCCCAGTAAATCATAAGCCAACGTTCTACAGCACTCAAGCAAAATCACATTGGACTGAGCTAATTTCCTCAGCCCAAACACAAAATAATGTACAATAACAAAAAACTTTTGCTTATAATTTTATACTGAATTCTTGGGATATACAGAAAAAATGCATTATAATTGCTCACTCTGAAAACAACATCATAATTTCCTCAGGATGCGTGTCTATTCACTACTCTCTGCATCATGTGTCTTTTCTAATTTTTCAAACAGAAGTCAAAGGAATGTCCCTAAGAACAGCAAAACACCCAGGAGCTCAGTGTTATAACAGGCTGAAGTGAATGGCCTAGAATCCTTCTCCATAACTTCTGACTTCTTTCAGTAGCACATAAATACAGAGCAGGTGCTTTCCTGCAAAATACCCCAGTAAGATTTTCATCCTAAGATAACTTAAATTGAAAACATTTGCTGAGAACCTCATAGATAAGTAGAAAGAGCTTATTGTTTTATTTTGCATTACATTCCTTAATTGTTCATCATGAGCTAAGAACACTGGCAACTAAAAATAGCATGACATTACCTGGACAAAACAATCTCCCTGATGACAAATCAATTCTAGGAAAATGACAGCACAACAATGCCTGGGACCACATTTTTAATTAAATAAAAAGGATTTAATTTTAATAAAAATGATTTCGTGTGAGACTACTAACATCCCAAAGAGAAAAATATGATTATACAGTTTCAACTAACTTTACTTTTTTTTTTTTTTTTTGACAAATTTTAATAAGGCACTTCATTTTTATCTCTTATACTGATTGCATTATGAAAGGATTTGGTTGAACTGCATATCTCATTTACTGAAGTTGACAATCTTGATAATTTCTCTTCTTCATAATGATATCATACTATCACTTCTTGTCACATTGTTACCTAATAGTTTTTATCGAAGTCTCTCTAGGAGCAGTAAGTGGTAGCTGCTTACCCCAGAAAAGAGAAAAGAATTGGTGACATGAAAATGCTAGCAAGTCATAGGAATACTACTCCTCTTTCCATGCTGACACTGAACTAACAAATGGGAATTAATAAAGTTAGTGAGAAGTATATCAGCAGCATAAAACCTTTTCATTTATAACATACAGATAAACACTGCAGTAGATTCTTTGGAGAGATTTAGAATTTAATTTTGAAATTCAGAGTTTTTTAAACAGTAAATACTTTTCAGCCTGGCTCATATGGACCACTTACAGTCCTTGCATTTGCATGAATCAATAGAATGATCTATATATCAGATATTTCTAAAATTTCCTCCTTTTTTAGGAGAGGGCCTACAAACCACTGAACTCTTAGACAAGTGTCTGTTTGAATAAATTTATCTACAGCTACTCTTACCTTGCAGCAACAATGAATTCCTGAGATTCCTTGCTCTATTTGTTTGCAGCTGCCATCTCAACAGCCCACCATCATCATGCATTTCCAGCTCCAACTACTCCTCCATCTCAGTGCCTTTGATTATTCTCTTGATACTGTCATCAAACTATTAAAATTCTCCCTCATCTGACTGAATTATTTGAAAAAAATATACACAATGAACAAAAACTAGAATGTTCTCCATCTATCCTCTTTGATTGGAAATTAATATTTTTTCTTTTGTATATTAGCAAAGAACGGAGCTCTAATTTTCTGTTTGATATTCGTAACTGATTCCAACAAATGATTTTGAATGTACTTTCCATACATTTCTTGCTGGCTTACATACTGTAACTTAAAGAAAAGTAAGGTTGTCCTATGAAATTTAGTCTTATTTCAAACATTCTAACTGAAAATGACAAGAGTACCAGATAAATTGGAGTGTAAAATACTTACAGTTCATTCATCTGTCTGTCATTTCTAGAATTCCCTCCTATGGTATTGTGATGAAAAATATGTGGCTACTCTCTCGTTTTACTGAGTAGAAATAAACTTCAGCCTAAGGAATCTTATTTGGCTTTAACAACAGTGAATAATGTAAATGAGCAATGGAAGTCAGAAGTATAGCAAAGTAGTAGAAAACTGACATTACATTACTGGATCAGCGTCTTTGGTCAGGCTATCTAATAGCATGATCCAAATCTATTAGCAACCCTACAAAACCTAGGCACATTGTGTTAATATTAATTCTAAAGCAGTCCTAATACACAGTTACACCAGGCAGGATATATTGTTTCCTACATCATATGAAGGCAAAACATGAATAATGTAAATTCCTTCCAAAAATCTACACAAAATTAGAAGATATCTTCAATCAATCTTCATACAAATCTTCATAATTTCAGACGCTCCCTCTTGTTCCTTTTGAGGACCTCTTAGCCCTACCTACCCCATCAGTATAAAGCTTCTTTAAGGCACCTTGCTCAATTAACACCTAAGGTACATTTAGGGTACCTCAGGTCATGCAGCTCCGCTGCTCCCCTTCCAAATTATGAGATGTGCAGTGTATCCTTGTAACCTGCCATAAGGAAGCCTGTAGCTGTGTACCTGTTACACTTTACTAGCAAAATTGAACAGGTGACTTGAAGTAAAAAACCTTTCAACTACCAAGAATAACCATTTAAGATCTTTGATTATACCCTGAGCATCACAGTAGAGCTGTTTAAATTCCTCTGCTTTGAACCGGCTCTGGGCACAATCAAGGCCACATTCACTCCTAGCATGCATTAACAGTGATGACAATCCCTTCTACCAGTTTCCTTTTTTTTTTTTTTAATAGACCCCTGAAGAGTCTTAATTGCATGTACCTTTAATGAGTGAACATTACACAGTTCCTCTACCCATAAACTCCACTGCTGTGGTTTAAGTTCCACATCTACATAACTGCAATCTAGTAAATTTTCCTTCCTTGTTGCAGCTGTGAGACCTGATTATTTTCCACCACTGGCTTAAGTGCAATTACCATACTGTTAAGGCAAAATGCTGACTCTATGAAAGACTCACTGAATAGGTACATTTACTTTGCCAAATTTAGACAAAGAAGAAATTAAGAAAATACCTAAACTTTTCAGAAAAAATTAGCCTGAAGCCTGAGTGACAGTCTCACCCAGTGGATTTTAAAATGGGAAAGGTAAGACTGCTTTTAGGCAGATTAATGACACTATGCCTTTCTTTTACAGCAGTAACTTTATCTCCATTAACAAATGGAATAAGAAACTGCCTACAGCTGCAGCAGTTGCCAAATCAATTATTAGAATTCTGATATAAAAGTACTTTACATCAATATAAGAAGAGGATTATAGTGGAGTTAAAAATTAATATATAGTGGCCTTTTTTTCCTAACACCTCTCAAAATGGTTGTAACATCCATCACCTTTGTATCCTGGCTGCTGTGAATGAGAGAACAGGTCTGTAGCTGAACTTACACACTGAGCTACTGGAAAGTCAAAAGGACTGGTATAATAATCCCATGTCTACTGAGAGCAGAAATAATTTCATGTTACTGTACAGAGATATGTCTGACCTGGTTTAGAGTACTAACAGAATTTTTCTTCATTGTAAAGGGGGCAAAAAAACTAACTGCCATTATATGGACTCTAAGAAGAATATAAAAAAATTAAAGCCTAGGTAATCCTGAATAACACACATTCTTAGGGAAGCACAGCATCAGCATGTGGGTGGCATGACAACCATTGTAGAAATTACTTCCCTTTGGTACTACTTTGAATATATTGTATGTCTTCATTAAGTTACCTGCCTAAACGTACACACTAAGAGCATATTTTCACTTTACATATACACCTGTTTTCTATGACCATTTTTCAAATATCAAAACATTCTATATTATAGGCCCTCAAAGTTAAATTTATACAACCAATAGTACCTATTCATCAAGATGAATATTAATTTGAAATCCGTGCATTAATTCTGACACCAGAGAGTGCACAAATTGTAACTTCCAAGCATACACTAAATGTTTGCACTGATCAACAGCACTAGAAAAATTGTGTTCAGACACAATGTTTCGAGTCACTTCCCAGACTGCTGTTTCATCATTCTATCAGAAAAAAATAGGATTAGAATTCAATCACATCTTCTACCGTGTTGATGAAGGTTCATTTGAATACATTTAAGAACATATGAATAACAGATTGGTTAGAATTGTCACAATGTCATTTGAAAAGGAAATTTCAAGCAGGGTTACAACTCTTCATATGGAATGTCACCATGTGTTTTGTAAATCAATAAATTTTACATTATTTTGCAGGTTATTTGTCCTTTAAAAACCCCAAAACCCATTGGAGTTAAATGCTTCCTAAATTCTGAATTCCAAGAAATTATTATTTACAATCTTACCTCTTTTCACTGTCACCTGCTGCTGAAGTTGACAGCAGGGAAAGGTTTGTCTTTCTGATACTACTGGCACCACTCAGTCCTTGTCACAACAGGGTAGTCAGTACATCCTTTCCTCCTCACATCTTGACCACACAAAATTGTGCCTCTAGTCAATAAACTATTGTAATATGCTGGAAATTTTAAATACATAGACCTGATACATATTATGTCCTATTCATTCTATAATAGCTTAACTAAAGTTAGTGATAAGCATAATTTACCTTTGCCCAAACTTTCTAATGTTACGGTTTTGTCTTTGTTTTTAATTCCATTTCATGCACTTAATGCTCTAGACTGCATTCAGTGTATACATCATTATGTAAGCACATTGGCATGCACAGGCAATACAAGAATAGATTATAATTAATCCCATAGACAACCAAAAAAGGTGAAGTTGCATCATGCAATGAAACCAGCTTGGCCTGGGCTGCCATGCAGAAAAAAACCTACATCAATGAGTCTGCTGTACGGCTCCTAGGTAAGAGTTGATATGAAAGAGGTGAGTTATTTCAGCAATGAAGTCACAGGCTGAGAATGTTTATACTACTGTCAACAAAATACTGTACATAGCACCAGTATTACTCGGGGATGGGGGAGAAGATGCTTGGTAAGGAGGACAAAAAGGATGAGAAAGAAGAAGAGGAAGGAGGAATTATAAATTACAGTAACCAGTCTGAAATCCAATCGGTTCTTTTAAATAAGCATTTTGTTATTTCATTCAAAATAATTTCATTTGAGCTTTCAAAGTAAACCTGAATTTTCAGTGTATTTTGAAGAAAAAAAGATGAAATAATGAGATATAGAGCAACTTCAAAATGTCCAATATGTTCAGTAATTGATGAATAACTGAAGATCATAAACACATAGATATGCAGAGGTGAATTTTTCAATGCAGTGCACAGGATCCAAAACACACAAGCTTCACTGATTTGAATGCATAATCAATCAAACTAAATGAATATGGACAGTATAAAGGATGCATTGATATGTGTGATTTATTTGGTCACCTTTTGCTGCTTTTCTAGTAAAAGACATCCCTGGTGAATAAATGAGTGTTTTCTCAGAACTTCTGTTGAATTGCCTTTACCTTACTCACCTTCACAGCTGCACTGAACATAACAACATGACTGGAATTACAGAGTGACCACCTAGTCTGTTCTAAATCATGTACATTGGGCACAGTACCGCATAGCCTGATTCCAGAGAGTTCAGAAAGACCTAATTGAACAGGTAATTTATTTATTGCAGCATTCACTTGAGGCACTACCCTGTGATGATAAATGTAGGATTTTGTAACACTGTAATGTATTATTGTGTGTTCCATTACAAAAGTATTTTTCCATATTTATCAATAGGTATATTGTTTTCAAGCAATTTTTCTTAATTACTCTTAAATGTATATTATCATTCTATTTTTAGCACAGTTCCCAAATATATAAACTACTTATGCAGGGTAGAAATTCACACAACATCAAAAACTAGCTTTAACAAGAAAACTAAATTTCACTTACTGTATAAGGTTTTTAATAGACTCTATTGTTCCATTTGCAGTACAATTACTTTTGGTATCTTTGTTTTTATATACTAGTAGCTTTGTGAAATATCAATTTTTTAGTTAGTAAATTGTCACAGAAATTTAGATCAAAATAAAATGAAATAATTGACAGTAGAAGTAATTTTCTGGCCTCTTGAAATGTCTTAGAATATTTGCAGAGAAACCGGAATTTGACAGGTAAAAAAAATTTCTAAATTGCTCATTCCAGATATAAAACCTCCAACGGTACTACTCTTATATAGCAAAATTCACATTCTTTTTTCAGACAAACACTTCTAACCTTTTCAAAGGAACAGAACTTGAGTCAAGACTCATACCACTTTTGGCCACTGTGTGCTATTTAACAAGGCTAGGAGAATCTTTCATTAATTGCATCTTAAATATGTGAATATTTTCTTGAGTGTACAGGTATGCACTTACAAACTGCTGCAGAGTGCATGCAAATGTTATTGCCTGAGAAGAAGGTTACTTAGTCAAGAGCAATTAAAGCACTGCTGACAAAGCGAGAAACCCAGTAAATTGTTTTAGGCAAGCAGATGAGGAGCCCAAAAATTTTGGAACTCAGAGACTTCCAAAGTGTACCATTCAAATAGCTACTGCACAGCCAGTAATCAGTATTCTGGCATACACAGTATGGACTATAACATACATGTATGTATCAAAGCACAAATGATACACACTATATATGTACACTTTCCCATTGTTGTGGAAATAGAAGAATCTTTATCTTACTTGAAAAGCATTGACTCAGCAAAAGATTAAAAGCTGTCTTTAAGTTAATTCTTAATAAAATCAATACACCAGTAATCTTTTATTTAGCTATGATAGAGAATTCCTTGAGATTCACAGAGAACACAAAGCTGGTCTGAGTTCCACAATGTCATCACTGTGAATATGACCATAACATAGTAAACACAAAAGAAGAAGAATCATATCCTTGGTATCTGCTACTAATGCAGCAGAGCATGATAGAAGCTACAAATGTAATCCAATGATCAGGTTACAATACAGTTTACCATACATTTACTCAACAGTTCATTGTCCTACAAGCAGTGATTTTTTTTGCTATAAAACCAGCTAATTTGGAGATTCAACTATTAGGTTTAAGAAGAGATTCAGTCATCTGTTTTCTGATTGTAGCTAGGAACCAATCTCATGTTAGAAAAGTTTCCCTGCTTCAGCTGGAGAGAAGCTATCAAACTCATCTATTTCATAACAATCTAAAGTAGGAGAAATTTCTCTCTTTTGGTGTAGCCAAAAGCCATAACAAACTTTACATAGTTCATACAAGTCTGCTGCAAATTATGAAACCTAATCATTATGAAGGGTACTGTACTATTTAAAATAAATGACCAGAACTATCAAATGTAATAAAATTTCTGAGATATTTAGCCCTGGAGTCAATTCCTTCCAACCCCTGAACATAAAACTCCTTTTAACAAACCAATTACTGGGAAAGTTTAGTTTGACAAAACAGGGGATCCAATTCCTAGTTCTAGTTTTCTGTTTTGAGGACTTGGTTATACTTAACTAGGTAAGTGAGTTAATAAGACTTATGAACTATGTGACTGAAGATGGACATAAGCAAGTTCCTGGAACAACAGAGTCACTGGATTCATATCCATTAACCTGTGGTGATTTGAACAAGTACACTGCCACTGCATTTTAGCTACAAAACCAAATGCATTGAAGTTTTAAATTTTCCCTAGGCAGCAAAGCTTATTCAACTCACATCAGACATTCCTGTTTATGACAGAGAGCTGGTTTAGAGAAAAAGTTTTCTTTCCTATGAGCTAAGAGTGCCTTGAAACAAGCCTTGAGATATCATGCTAAAAGGGTCCACAATGCATGTGCTTAGTTATCCTTTCACATCAGGCTAGAATAACACCAGCCTATCCTGATTGCTGTAGCTGTTTATTTCACTTCTGTCCCCACCTCAAGCAAGCCCATTACTTTTCCTTTCCAAAATCCACTCACTCCCCAGCCAGTTTCTCTCACATAAAGAAAAAAAAAAAAAAACAAAACAAAACCAAACCCTACTATATCCCTAATGCTCAAATTCCTCCTATAAACACCATTTAAGGACCATACAACAGTTTGCCCATGTCTGACCAGGATTTTCTCTCTAATGTGATTCCGTACTTGCAGCAGTTCCATGTAAGTGAATTAGCACAACAAATATTACTAGCTGCTATGTTAAAGCACAGGCACAATTCTCTGGCACTGCAGAATGTGTGTTTGGGATAAGATGCACAACCACTCCACATGTGTTGATTTTATAATTTATTAAATATGTTACAGGAAAAAAAAAAAACAAAAAAAAAAAACCAGAAGAAAAGTTTTCCCAAAGTAAACATTGCAAAAGGGAATTTTAAAAATAAGTTAAAGCATTTCACATCCTCTGATTATCTGAAAATCCATATATACACAAACACTTGGCAAGGGTAGATATAACCAGGGAGCTTTGAGATACTAAAGGGAAAAGAAGGACACAGCAAGTGATATCAGAATCCAATGGCTGAACATCCAAACGTGGGTCTAGCCATGGGCTTAGGGAAGCTCAGGTAAAAAGGTAAGAATTGTAAGCTATAACTCATTCACATTTAGTTTCTGCTAGAACACGGTTTAGTAGGATTCTTTTACTCACTGAAAATACCATAAAGCATGTTACTAAATACTCAAAACACCTTCATTTCCAAAGGGCTTGTCTATACAGAAACAAGAAGAAACTATGCTAAAGACATTGGAGAACTAGGAAGAGTAGTGTCCCAGGACTTCTGGGAAAAGCAAGTGTGGATAATGCAGTAAGGACTGAAATGTAGACTTAACTAATCTAGCTCTGATGAGGACTGTAAAGAACATGTTTCTATTCAATAACTGCTTATTACAGAAGCTCATTGCAATGACCATTAGCCAGTAAATGAACTGGTATGATGGAAGATACATCAGGGTTGTGCTTTATGGAACAGTAGGATCCTTAAGTATCCTTTCTAATGTTAGATTAGATCACAGATTCCATGTTACAAACCATGTATGACAAACTTATGCACAGTATTATTGATGAGCGTGTCTGCATCCCCACCATCACTACTGAAGTCCTAGACATACTGGTCTGTGTGTAAAGACCACAAGCATCTTTGCTTGGTCTTTGCAGACCAAGCATCTTTGTGGAAACCTGTGTAGGTAGATCTGTCTTCTTTATGAGACTGCACAAAGATGTTTTTTAACAAAGCTGTCAAACTGACAGGTCAAACTTTGTTACACACAGAACCCTCAACCCATCAGTACTGTAAATCTTGATGCACACTGTACAAAAGTAACTAGACTGGCCGTAGAAATTCTTGGCAGGCTTCTCTCCATTCTTGCTGCTTGTTCAGATGAACACAGATTGCTAGACCGAGTATTCTGTAGTTCACTCAACCTCTTCCAGCAGCTTGCCAAGGCCTCAAGATGGGTTATATTTATCATACACAATGGCAGTAAGATACTGGAGGTTAAAAATTATCGCAACTTCACTGACAGGCAGGCTTTTACACAAAATCTGATGGTGAATTATGGCCTTATGAAAAACAAGTTGAAAGATGTGTTCCTGACTGATCATGATGCTACATCAGTTCCATCCCAGTTAAATACCTACATATATGGAAAAACCTCTGTGCTACCAGAAATATCGAAATTTGCAGTTGCATGTATTTTGAAGAACTATCCAAGCTCTATTCAATAAGTGGTTTTGTTTTGTATGTATATTTCTTCCCTTTCCCAAAAGGCATTATTATTAATATAGCTATGGAAAAAAAAAAAAATGTAAGTATCTTAAACTTCCTCCTTTGACCAATTTTTGGGAAAAACTGAGACAAGTTTTCATGCCAGCATTACCATCCTGTATGTGCAACAAGGACCACTACAGTTAGAAATGTTT